TGTCCAAATTTTCCCTTTGCGTAGGAATCTAGTCGTAATGAATTAAGGCTTACTTTGATGGTTTCATCTTTGATCATCTGCAAAGACCCTATTTCCAAATAAGGTCACATTCATAGGTACTAGGGGTTAGGACTTCAACATCTTTTTGAGAGAAATAATTCAACCCATAACAGCAGTCTTCAAGCTGAAAAACCAGACTTTAAAGGAAATTTTAATCTAGCCACCTAGTCTTCTCTAGTCTACCTTATATTGTTGAGACTGATGAAAATAGTTAAAGAGACATTCTTGAATGTCTATCCCTTAGTTTAGAGAATCACTATAGCTAAGTTGTCCATAAAGCAAATTTCTGTAACATGGATCTCTTTTGTTCCCTTTATAAAACTAGAGATCCATCTACACAGAAGAAAGATGACTATTAACTAGGATGACAATAAGTTACACATTTTTGGCAAGGAATTAAGTTGGTAGAATTCTAAACATTTTGCACATTGGAACATTTCATCTTTAGATAGTTATAATAACAACAGACAATTAGCTTCTGGTTTCTTTTTGATTTATTTATTATTCTTTATGGTAGTATTTTGTTTTAGGAACTCTGAGGCTCTTCTCCGTGACACCCACTCATGCATAACATTATGGTTCCAGACTTTCTTCCCTGGCTAGTTTGGTCTATAAATTTATAATGCCTTATATAGTGACCTAAACCTCTGTCTGAGACTTCAGATTTTTAACTGTTATTGTTAATACATTTTTAAGATAGGGATATTTGGAATAGAATAGTCTCCATGAAAGTAGCACTTGAGAGACTTACAGACAGGGCAGCCTAAACCCATGGGGGTGCCGTCCGGACACACTAGCTCTGGGTCTGGGTGGAGCCTGGAAGAATGCTGGGCTGCAGTAGGAGAGGGTGAGGGAGAGAGGAGGGATCAATTCTTGTTAATAAGAGATTGTGACAGTGGAACAATATTTTCCAAACAAAGAATTTGGACCATGATTTATTTGAAGAGCTTGATCGTTAGTGTTATTATCTATAATAGCAATACACATTAGTGCACCTGGCTTTGACCTTTGTGGATTTCTTCTCTATTTCATTCTATTATTTTCTTTTTCATTGAGTTAAGGTTATTTCTGTTCCTCCATCTTGTAATTGTGAATCTAAATCTATAGATTTGTGCAAATGTATACACACACAGATTTGTAGTTCTACAGATTTGTACATGGGACAAGTCAGCTTCCACTGATTTGAGGATCAGCCTCAACTGTAGGATCACCCTGGGAAGCCTGTTCTGCAGTGCACAGAAACTCTTCAGGCTACCTGAGGCTTCTGTCTAGCCAGAAGCTGGTTCATGCCCGTGTAATATTTTGTGGATTAATTATAGTATTTCAAACAGAATGGTGGATACCAACATGGTCTAATACATAAAGTGAGATGTGAAGTTTTAAAAAGAGCTTATTGTATTGTAGGATCTTTGTTCAGATTTGGAGACAGGAGGACAGTCCCAAGGGCAGGAATGTGGGGGCCAGTTGTGCTGGCTCTGCCCCTGCTCTGTTGCTTCATCCATAGCCCCCCATGCATTAACTGAGGGAAATGAGTTACATTTTTAAAATCTTAACCACATCCATTGTTCTAAGAGAATAAATTCAGCAAGAACAAAATAAATTCAAAACAAATAAAAGTTGCTACCTATCCTAAGGTGTATATAGTGTTGGGGCTCAAAAAATGATACCCCAAAATGAGGGCCTCAGAGGCAGTATCAGAAACAAAAGTTTTCCTCTGACCTTTCCAGCCCTCCTTTCCCCCCGAGGCTAGTTGAAGAAAGTAGAATCCCTCTTTCCCAAGGTGGGTCTTGGAAACCAGAGCCCTGTTTTTCCAAATCCATCTATGAAAACTAAAAATATTACACTTTCTTCCCATCTTTCTGTGTAAAAACTGACACAAACAATCTGACCTACCTTGTTTGATTATAGGTCATAAGACGCCCATCCCAGAGAGGGTCCTGCTGCATACCCAGAAAAATAAAACCCCAACATTTTCAGGGGGCCAAGAAAAATCCAAAGAGGTGGACCTTATTGGTTTCTCCACTCAATCTATTGACATTAGATCATATCCTTTTTGTCTAATCACGTTTCTACACAACTGTCCATAGTGTGATAAACCTAATCGTAAAAATAGACAATTTCTGTTAGAGCTTTAGGTCAAACGTCATTCCAAATGCTCCTATGTCACGTAAAACTGTGATCAAATAAATTCATATGCCTTTTCTATCATTAATCTGCCGCTTCTCAGTAACATTCAGTGAACCCTCAGAGCACAAAGAAAAAATTTTCCCTTGAAAATTATTATACTCTTATAATAGTCTAAATTATGTGTTCAATCTTTTCCTATTATAGAGCATATTAGCAAACTGTTTTTTAAAAAGATGTTTCAAATAGTTATTAGAAAGATTGAGAATTACATAGAATTATGTAACATAAAGAAATACTCATTCTGAGTTCAAGGTAGATAGTTTTTTTTATAATACTTTAGATATTTTTATGGCACTCAGGAAAGGATAAAGGATAAAGGCACGGCCAGGAAGATGTGTGTTAGGGCTGGCCCTACCAGGAGTAGAATATGATGGAGAATTCAATATTCATTGACATGCATATTGCTTTTCAGAATTGCAGATACTTGTATTCCTTTGCTAAAGGAAAATTGGATACTCACAGTCACGTCTTGCCATATAGCAGCTACAGCTAAATGAATTCAGGTTTTCACAGAGTGCTTAGAGAATTTGAGAAAATGATGGTGTGGCTGATGGGAGACCCGAAAACTATTTCTACCTCTGTCATTACCACAGGCACCATTTTAAATCTTATGATGGGGTTCGGTGCCAGTAGCTCAGCGGTTAGTGCCCCAGCCACATGCACGGAGGCTGGGGCTGGTGGGTTCAAACCTGGCCTAAGCCTGCTAAAGAAACAAACAAACAAATAAACAAACAACAAAAATAGCCAGGCATTGTGGGCATTACGGTGGGCTCCTCTAGTCCCAGCTACAAAGGAAGCTGAGGCAGATGATGGCCATTGGACATGTATTAAGTACAGTTTCAGTTTATTTCCATTGCTTGAACTATCTTCCAACCTTCTTGACATGAATATTTGGTGGTTGGGTGGAAATTAGTAAAGAAATGATACATTAAGTTAAATATCTTTTCAAATAATGTTTGCTTGAGAGGAACCCATGAATTCTTTGAAATAAACTGCTGGCATTTGTGATGTGCAGAAGAGGTTTTGTGATTTAAAAAAATCATTTCAAGTTCAGTTGAACTCTTCAGACATATTTCTTTAAAAATGTTCTGTGGTTCACGCTTTTCACTGAGCTAATCAGGGCTTCTGGCTTAGTGTGAATTAAAGAGATTTAAAATGTATGAATGATTTTTAGATGATCTATCATATGAATGGCCCATGCTTCTGTTCTTTTCTGAATAACCAGGATTTGTACAGTACAGTGTTTGTCTGCATTTATTACTGCCTTTTGTTTTAATTAAATGAGACTTTGCTTCAGTTATAAGAAATATGATATGTTTATCTCAAATGTTTACATTTTTTAAGGATGACAATGTGGAAAATAATAGTGGTGGATGACCAAGCCAGCAAAAAGGAAATGAATGGACAATTGGTGAATCTAATGCTTTTGGAAAATTGTAAAGCCATATATGTAGAATGACCTAGAGGTATGCAAATTATGGCAGACTATTTTTGTAGAATTTACTTTTTTTCTTTTTAAATTTTAATGAACGCCATCATAGGTGATTTTTCAGCAGAAATTTTGTGAAACAGGATTTTATGAAATTCTTAAGTTGTCTAAGTTTAATTCTATTTCTGCTTAATTGTCCCAATTGCTGTCTCCCAGTGCTGCAACTCCTAGTCCCAATGACAGGAGAAATGTAGGGCCTTGATCTACTACACTGATGGGATGAGACTTAAAATATTAGCTTTACCTGGTTGCTTGAATTTAAATTTTGGCTTTGGCTGCATGTGGTGGTTCCTGTCTATAATCCTAGAACTCTGGAAGGTCAAGGCAGGAGAATTGCTTGAGTTCAAGAGTTTGAAACCAGCCTGAGCAAGAGACTCCATCTCTAAAAATAGAAAAAAATCAGCTGTGGTGGCAGGCACCTGTAGTCCCAGCTACTTGGAAGGCTGAGGCAAGAGAATTTCTTGAGCCCAAGAGTTTGAGGTTGCTGTGAGCTATGACTCCATGGTACTTTATCCAGGGTGACAGAATGAGACTCTGTCTAAAAAAAGAAAAATAAATTTTAGATCTTTTAAAGACTGAAAAGCATGACACAGGTTGTATATTTTTGGACAGATCAGTGGGTGTGGTGTGTAAGAGAAGGTGAATTTCCAGGGGTATTAAAATATACCAACTACCTAGTTGCTATTTTTTTAAGACTAACATTATTTATGCAATATTTTTCAAAACTAAAATCTGTTTGAAATTACGGACATAATCTTTAGAATTTTTATGACTACTGCTTCAGGTTTAAAGGGTTTTGAAAAAGCACTTTATTCTTCTTTAATGGAGGGATAAATCAAATACAAGGAAGATGTAACACTGATAATTACAGCTAATTTATAAGCAGAACATTTAATTTGTTTCTGTCTTTCTTATCAATGATCTCATGTGAAGATAGATAAATGATAAGAGCTTCAAATGTGACGTAATGTCATACTTGGGACACGGGGTCGATGTTAGTCATACTCTTCCACTGTCCCTCTTTGAAAATTACAATGGGACTCTCTGCTGGCCTACATAAAAAAGAAAGAATAATTAGCATTGATATCAGGATGTTAATTACAGAGAAAAGGTGCTAAATCCTCATTTGAAGGAAGAAGCACTAACTCATTCTTACCCGATCTCTCCCTACTTAAGTGTAAAACTCACATTAACCCAGGACCGGCTCAGTATGCTCAGATGATTATTTGCTATTAGATAATTTGGGATTCTTTTCCATTTTAAGGTCAGTGCGACTTCATGGTGGCAAAAATGAGTTTGACGGCACAGTGGAAGTATGTGCAAGTGGAGTTTGGGGCACGGTCTTTAGCAGCTGCTGGGGTGATTCTAATGCATCAGTCACTTGTCACCAGCTGCAGCTGGGGTGCGTGCACTCATCCCTGACCAAATCAGTCTTCCAGTATCTGAAAATGTTGTGCATCCATCACTGCTGTGGAAAGGCTGCATCAGTCTTTCTTACTGTCACTTTCCTAGACTCTCACTTTCCACAGAAGAGCTACAAGGAAAGGGCCCCAATGGAAGGAAAGGATTCTCTGGCTTGCAAATGCACTTCATGTATTACTACCCCTGCTGAACTTGGAAATGGCGAATGCTAAGTGGGCAATAGTTAAAAGCATCTCTTGGTCTTTGTTTTTAATAAAATAAATTTTTAGTCCTAGGAAGCAAGTAATTTGATTCTAATAATTACAATTTCTTAGTAGCTTGTGCAGCCTTAGGTTGATGTCATTTGCTTTTTGAGTTCTACTTTTAGCCATCCACAAATTCCATTTTTGGGGTGTGTAAAGGTGCTGCTTACATCTGCTCTTATTCTGGGATGGGTAAAGGGTCATATCTCATACCTTAGGTTTCTGTACTGAGCAGGTTCTGGGAGAGATGGTTGCTTCCATCAGCCTGGGCGGTGTATGGCCATGCTGAAACGCCGCTGCCCTGGGTAGTGGCACCTCCATTATCCTAGGCAGCACTGGCTTTTTTTTTTTTTTTTTTCCTGAGACATTGCCTGGACTAGAATGCAACAGCATTGTTATAGCTCATTACAACCTGAAACTCCTGGGTTCAAGCAGGCCTCCTGCCTCATCTTTCCAAGTAGCTGGGACTACAGGCATGTACCACCATGCCAGGCACATTTTTATATTTTTTGTATAGACAAGTTCTCCTCATGTTGCTCAGGCTGATCTTGAATTCCTGGGATCCTCCTGCCTGGCCTTCCAAAGCTGGGCACTGTTTTTACTGGGGGTCAGTGGACATAGATTCCCATCAGTTCTAACATGGTTGTGCCTTGTGCCATAGGGTTTCACCAGGAGCAGAAGGCCCCATTTTGGAACAAAAAGTTTTGTTTTTATTGTTCATTTTCTTCTGTTTTCTTGTCTTATTTATTTTTTCTAAGCAAACTAAACATGTGCTTTTCTTGACTTTTATCACCAGAGATCTTTAGAAAGCATGGAAAATATCTTGTCATAGAAAATGCAGATCTAAAGGACTGGGGAAAAAAGGTTTGCAATTAATAAATATTTTGGATTAATAATCAGCAAGTGGTAATATCTCATATGATGACCCAAAATGAAGACGTGGCACTTGAATTTGTCAGATTTCTCCTGTCTCCCACTGGGAAAGTGAGGAATGAGTATTCTGTACAGACAAACCTGGAAGGCCTACATTTTGTTCAGACCCTGATCCTATTGGAGCAATAAATAGGGTTCATATATTACATTGAAATTAATCTGTATTTTTTTTTAATGAGAGATGGTATGAATCAGGAGGAAAGGAGGAATAAGGCCAGACACCATAAAGTGTTATTATGCTTAAAACTGTTAAATCGTGATTTTTATCAATGAATATTTAGTCTAACAGTCATTGCCAGGTGGAGTCACAAAAATATGTTGATTTCATCTCTTTTTCTTTGAGGGCCAGGAGATGTAACAAATTCATAGGCTGGTAGCAGTGTCTTCCTTTATACGTAGACCTATATGTGCTTTATTGACCCTGCAAATCAGAAAGGAATAAACTCTCTCATGAGATGTAAAGAAAACAAGAACACTATATTGGAAGTGTGAACCGTAGTGTGGTTATTGATCTTTCTCTCTCTCTTTATTTTATTTTATTTTAAGAATAGGGCTCCCTCTGTTGCAGTGGCATCATCATAGCTCACTTCAGCCTCAGACTCCTGGGTTCAAGTGATCCTCCCACCTCAGCCTCTTGAGTAGTTAAGACTACAGGTGCATGCCACCATGCCTGCCTAATATTTTTTGTACTTTTTGTAGAGTTGGGGGTCTTGTTGTGTACCTTAGTGCTTAAGCTGATCTTGAACTCCTGGCTCAACCTCTGATAGTGCTTGGATTACTAGCCTGGATCACCGTGCCCAACCTGTTACTAGTCTTTTGACTGATGAAAGAATGTAAATATAAACTTCAGATAAGCTGATCTAACTGCTTAGATAGTATAGTCTCTTAGTAGCCCATTTTTTAAAAAAAAGAATGGTACAATAAAAGCAGAAACCCAGCTTTATCACTATGATGACACATTTATATTTTAGATATCCCCACATGTTTACTGTTTGGTTGATGGAAACTGAGGTATGGAGACAATTATAGAGATTACTTTATTCATCAGATAAGTGTTTAATCTTTTTAAAATGTAATGCAAGTTTGTGCACATCAGAAGTTACCTATAAAAATATGTGGATTAGTTGAGCTAAGAGCAGAACCCATCTGCATGAAACTATTTTATTAATCAGTTTCAAAGTCTTGCTAGCAATTATTGCATATAATACAAGGTTTTAAAAATTGTAAATGGACTGCCTCTCTTGATATTATTGTGCTTAGATGTAGTAGTAATAATCTTTTGAAAAAGCCTAGAGTACAGAAAGAATCTTCAAGCATACAGATTTTCTCTGAACACCTTACAGGCAGAGTCTGAGAAAGACTTGCAGCTTGGAGTGACTTTTAGCTAAGTCCAGAAGGGAATCCAAGGCTCAAAGGGCCTCATGACACAATCCTTGCACAAAGACACCTAGACTTCCTTTTATATCTGTAGTACTTGGCCATTTTCTTCCATATCAGACATGGATAGTAAAGGCACATAGAAATAATTATTCAAGATTGAGAAAAAGATTGCCATAGGCAATCAACCCAAGTTCTGATCTGATACTTTCATTTCCTTGGAATCTATGTAAATCAGTGTGTTTTTCTTTTTTCTATCCTTTTTTTCTTCCCTTTTTTTCTTCCATATCCATTTTTATTGATTTCTTTCATTTCTAAAAATCCAAATACTTCGAAAAAAAATTTCTCCTATATTTGATAAACCTAATATTGATCATTATACTTCCAGAGGAAAAGGAATAGCAAAACAAACCCCGTTTTCTGGACTGGGCCTTATTCCCATTAATTGCAGCAATGTCCGTTGCCAAGGAGATGAAGAAAATATATGGCTTTGTGAAAAAGACATCTGGCAGGGCCGGTGTGTCCTCAGACGATGATAGCTGCTGTCGCGTGTAGCATTTCCCTTGGTTAAAAAAAAAAAAAAAAATGTTCTCTTGTTTTAATTTCATTGTGGTTTAAACATGATTCCAGATGATAAAAGTGTCTTAGTTAAACCATTTCTTTAAAGAATTTAAGTACAGAAATAAAGCTGAATTGAAATACTCTGCTGTCTAACTAAATGGTCTTCAATATGACTACATCTAACTATTTGAATTCCATTTTGATTTTCAAATAGTCTCATTTTAACATATTTTCTATTTTGCATAATTTTCTTAAAGAAATTGTATACATATATATGAAGCACTTATTTTAGTGATGGAAAACCGTGATGAAATCAAGATGGAAAATCTTCTTGAAAACATACATGAAATCTAGCAACTACACCCATATATTTCACTTTGGCTAATGCAACATGATCCAAATGCTTATGCATCCAAAATGCTTCTTTTCTGGATCATGGCATCTATGTTCTTCTTGGTGTTGTAGGTTATTCATTCCCTGAAGATGGATCTCTTAGCTTGGATATGGACTTCTTCCACATTTCTCATACAGGCTATGTTCTGATTAGCAGTATGCAGATATGCATATGATCATATCAGTGTAAGTAAAGGAGGAACAGCTGCCTTTTAAGATGGTGAATGGGTTTTGTACCATAGTATACAAGGGACACTATGAAAGTTTTGAGATGCATAAAAATTAAGAAACATGAAATCATTTTGATTATTATGTTTCCTCAAAATAATTGCCACAACATTTTTTATACTCCCACATTCTTGTAAGCCATTTTTGAAAATGCTCCTTCCACTCATTTTCTTCATGTATAATGAGCTCACTTTCATAGGCATGTGAGGTTCTTCAAGGCTGGAGAATCGCATGCAATTTTTTACTGCAGGGAACAGGAAATAATCACGTGGGGCCAGCCCAGGACTGTGGAGTGGATGAATCATCAGTTTAACCTCTGTGGACTCCAGGAACTGAATGGTGATGTGGGCTGTGTGGGTGGATGCATTGTCATTATGCAAGATGGTCCCCCACAGTCCTGTCCTTGGCCACCATTCTTGAAACTTGTGGAAACTTTTGGTGGGCAGACTGTCATGTACCAGTCCTTTGTTCCTCCAGAGAAACAGATGCAACATGATGCATTTAAAGAAGACACTTGCCACCATTTTCTTTCTGACACTTTGGGGCCATTTCACTTTTGTTGGTGGATTTCCACTGGGGAAAAAATCCACACTGTTGACTAGCACTTATTTTCTGGATCTGACTGGTAAATCCAGGTTTCATCACCACTAACAATGGCAGAAAGGTGTCCAGACTTGCCTCTGTCCCCCTGACCAGCCTTTCTTCACACCGTGCGCTTTTGCTCAGCTGTCAAAGTGTGAGGAGCCGTCAGGATGAACCTTTCCTGACGCGGAGATGATGGTGCAGGATTGTGGCTGGTGCAGGCGATCCCATCTGTAGGGCTGCTTCAGCGTCGTTAAACGTCACTTCATTATTTTTTGAGAAACACTTTTTCCCACAGTAGCAGTGTTTTCCTCAGTTACTGCAGTTGTCAGATGCCAGCTCCTCTCTCATCTTTCAGTGAAGTCTGGCCTCTTTTAAATTCTTAAAATCACCAAAAACTTGTACGGGAAGGAGTAAAGTGCCCAAAAGCCTACTGCAAAGGCTTTGAGACTTGCTTAACCCACTTAAAATCACAGAAAACAGCTGGGTACAGTAGCTCACACCTGTAATCTGAGCTCTCGGGGAGGTCGAGGTGGATTGCCTGACCTCAGGAGTTCAAGACCAGCCTGAGCAAGAGTGAGGCCCCATCTTTTCTAAAAGTAGAAAAAACTAGCAGGGTGTTCTGGCACATGCCTATAGTCCCAGCTGCTCGGGAGGCTGAGGCAAGAGGATTGCACAAGCCCAAGAGTTTGAGGTTGCTATGAGCTGTGATGCCCTGGCACTCTAGCCAGGTAGACAGAGTGAGACGCTGTCTCAAAAAACCCAATGACAACAAAAAAGTGCTCTCTTCCCAGCGCTATGGCTGACACCAACTGAGTGCCACACAGACCGAAATAAATGAAGCCCTCCCAGCGACATGGATAAGCCCAGCAAGTGGGGACTCACAGGGTGAATCAGAAAGGATGCCCTGTAGACTGTATTTCTTGGAAGTGATATAATGGACCATAATACAGTCTGTCTCAGAACTTTCCTAGTGACGTTCACTGTTTAATCTATGACTATAATCTGAAGCTATGACTGTATCCCTTTTTGTATTTTCCTTGGAGGTAGCAGTGTGACCAGATGATCTAGGACTTAAAATGGTAGCAGTCAGCCCAAAGCGGTGGTTCCTATTTGAGTATAAGTATCAAGGGAGGAATAAAAAAGTTCCTGCCACAAAACACACAGACCCAGTGTAGAGTAATTACTGGGAATTGCCTGGAAGGACCAATGGAAGGGTGTGGTAAAGGGGTGTACTCCAAGCCGCAATGCTTTTTGAGTCAGAGACGTGTATGCTGTAATGATGTCTTGTTTTTCCTTTTCTTCCTTTGATTCTCTACCTTTGGGTGATGCTGCTGTTGCCATATCCATGCTCCTACAGTGCTGCTTCAGTGATGACGTGAACTGGGCCCAGTAATGCATTGTTTTTATAGATTACTGGTCTTAATCTTTGTTCAGTCTGGTTGATAAAATGTTTAATATTTTTCAAGTAATGAAATAGAGTTTTAAAAACAGCAATTATTTTTCTTCCAGGATACATCTCTGCTTTACTTCTTCTACCCTCTGTCGTCTGTCCATCTATTCATACAAACATAAACAAAATTATCTAGTTGAAGAAATAATTTTATACTCACTCACAAACATATATAAGATATAGAAATTGGTGATAAATTAGAAGAATGAAAAAAGATTCTTTCACAGTAGATTAAATAAGAATGTGAAATTGTATAGCTGAAATCAGCAAACACTAACTCTATCTTAAGGCCCAGTGGCAGATCTTTAATATACATTCTTTTAGTTTGGGAATTATATTTAATGGCTTGTCATCTATCCTTGTAGCTTTTCCAACATTCACAAAATAGAAGATGGTGTACAAGTTTTGGATACAGGAAATAGCAACAATCTAAATGAAAACATGTGGGGAGTTTTATTTATTTGTAGGTTAAATATGAGTCAACTGCTTTCCTGAGTTTTCTTCCAAATGATTTTTGTGTTTGTTGGGAGGACGGGGTTGTTGAGTAAATTTTTGCCCTGTGTTTTTCTGTATTTTAGCAATTACTTATCTAATACCCCCCAAAGTGTTTTAAAATAAAAGACAACATACAAAATGAAAGTAGTGTGCCACAAGGGTTCTAAGTTCAATCTAGATGATTTTAAATTTTCTCTCCAAAAAATTTTGTTTTTCTGTTTTCTCTAAACTTGCCACATCACGGAAAATCTATTAAGTCATGTATATATTTTTCCTGTCATTTTTTCCCCTGTATTTTCCAAGCTTTTTAAGGGAAAAGTAAACATCATTACTTTTGATACTTGCGGGAATCATGGTACCATCATTTGGTCATGTACATTAAAACTGCCTTTATTCTTTAACAAGTGCTAGTTAAATTAGTGAATTATAATACAGATATCAGAATATGGGAATATATGTACAAATACTCAGTAATCTGAATCTCCGCTATAAAATTCAAATATGATATTTGAATATAAGGGTGAATATCCAAATGCCACCTACTGACAGTCACCTGTGCTATGGATAATTAAAAGAATATTTCATATTGATAAATGATTAGCATTAGGAAAAAAGTACAACTAGCATAGGGACCCAACCTGCTCACTTTTACCACATAATATTCTTTATCCCAATAAAATTAGACTGCTTTACTGTTTCCCAAACACTTTCAACTTTGTGCTTCTGTGCTTTTGTTCACACTGTTCAACCAGCCTGAATACACTTCCCCATCTCTGAGTTCCAAAACCCCATCCATCCATTTCGGTCCTCTTCAGAAGCCAGCTTTTTCACAACAGATTCCTTAACTTCTCCAAACTGTGAGTGAGATTGCTTGCTTCTGAACCACTGTAGGGTTTTCTTGACAATCTCTTGTTTGTACTCATTTTACCTCAAGGCACTAAACTTCTTGAGGACAGGGTCTGTTCAAATGCCCTGTGGCGCTGATTGTACCCCTTGTACTCTGCACATGGTTAATATCTGTTGGTTAAACAGAATTGAATGAATTGATGTTGCTGATGATTTTTCTTTGTTTGTGATACTTTTTCCAGTTTTATTTGCATCACTTGCCAATCCAGGCAATCAATGAAGATTGAGTAAATGCTTTCGCTATACTAGGTGCCTGAGATACATACACAGGTGTAAAGGGAAGGTAGTGTCTCTGTCCTCATTCTAGCCAAGAGGAGAGAGTCAACTGACAGGTAAACAATAAATCAATGACAATTTTAGATGAAGGTAAAAACTCTGAATAAGGCTAAATTAGGCAGTGCAGTAGAAAGGATCTTAGGGTACTGTTTGAGCCAGAGTAAGCCTCCTGAAGAAGGGACATTTCAGAGTTGAGAGGAAGGCAGCCATGTGAAGATATGTAAGGACATTATTCTAAGCACGAGGTACAGCAGTCACAAAGTCCTTGTGGTGGGAACCAACTTGGAGCGTTTTGGGGACAGAAGGAAGAGGGCATTGCAGCTATAGCCTGGTGATTGAGGCCAAGAGTAGAGGCCGGGAAGTTCTTAGATGACAGGGACTAGATCAGGGCCTGGTAAACTATGGGATGTAACCACCTGTAGTGGTTCTTAACAGAGGAAATGAATATGAACTGATTCATGCCCAAATAAATTTCCAATATCATTTTTGGGGTATTATCCCTGAGGGTCACCAACTTATATAATGAGTTTGATGCTAACTTTGACTTGATTTCTAAAAATATAAAAATAATTATATACCGAAAACAAGTTATGTTGTAGACATAAGTGCCATTCATCATAATTACCTGTTAGTAATACTCAAGTTACTGTAAATAAAAAAATCGATGTCACCACCATACTACTATAAACATCAGATGTGTTTCCAGTAATCTGCAGCTTCTGAGTATGTCTTTTCTGGTTTCTGAGGTTGTCGGGGAAAAGTGAATTTAGTCTATTTCTTCTTAAGGGCTATTTGTATGAACATAATTCAATTTGGGGTGTTTTAATGGGTTAAGATTACTGTATTAGATATGTATGTGTATCTCCATGTCACTTAATGACTTAATGAATGGTATGGCTTAATGAATATTATTTAATTATTGAGAATGGAAAAAAATCAAATATACCTGAAATTATAAGTCGGTGTGAATGCACAGGTTTAACTGGTTTAAATTTCACACTGCACAGGCCCGGTGTTCCCTGCTGTCCGCCTTGCTGGTGGGAGAAGTGTTCATGAAGGCCGGGTGGAGCTGTACCACGCCGGCCAGTGGGGGACCATCTGTGACGACCAGTGGGATGACGCAGATGCGGAAGTGATCTGCCGGCAGCTGGGACTCAGGTTTGTTTTTACTGCTTTTGTTCTGTTTTGTTTAAATTTTTGAATCTATTATTTCCATACCCAAAGGCAGGTGGTGTTTATTTAAATTTTACATGTCCTTGAACAAACAGAAAAAGCTACCTTTTGATCTTTGTCCTGGGCTGTGAGCTGCCTGAAGAGCATGGACGTGTGCTTTGCGGGTCTAACCTGCTTATGTCTGAAGTAGATTGATTTGATGTCACTGAGAATCTTAACTTTTACCACTTCTCATTAGTACCCTGCACGGTCCTCAAGGGTAGTGACCAACACAGTCAACTATAGCAATTTAATCAAAGTCATATGATGAAACACTAAATATTAGCTTGTAATTGAAGTTCAACTCCTAGTCTCCAAATATTGTCCAGACTTTTGAACTTTATTTCCTTATTTGTTAGATATGTGCTTAAACCAAAGGGTGTTTATTAATGTACAAAGGAAATAATTTCCATGTAGAGCATGGAAAGGAAACTATGCAATAAAGACAAAAATATGGAAATGAACATTCCAGTTGCCTCAGTTGTGATCATTTTTGAAATATTTTGGATCTTCTGATATCTTTCTTCATTTCTATCTTCCACATTTCTGAATGTTGGTATAATAAGCCAAAAGGTTTTCTAAAATTATATTAGGGGATCTTTTAAAAATTAAAATTTTACCTCGAATTTTTAAAATATCTCATTAGTTCTCAAGGGAATAGCGATGGGGAAGCCTTCTGAGATGACATATTCTCTTTCTATGGAACATTTTCTAATTTACCATACTTTTTGACACTGGGCCATGATTTTTGAACCTTGAACCATTTACACTCATTGTTTTTCACAAATGTCTCTCTTGTTTTTCCAGATTTATATTCATGTTGAACTCTAGATTTTGAAATAAAATGTAGACATTTTACCATTTTATCCCTGAACTTCAGTTTGCATCTCTTAAAAATAATATTGTCCCACATAGCCAAATTGTCATTATTATAACTAACGTGATTGATGGTCATTCTTGATTCTCAATATTGTCTAATATTCTGTCATATTTAAATTTTAACAGTTTCCCCTGCAATGTCCTTGACACATGGTTTGTCTGAAGCAGAATTTAATCTTGTTCCATGTAGTTCACCTAGATGTTATGTGCCTAAAGTCTCTTCTACTCCAGAATAACCTCTTTTTTTTTTTTCCATAAAACTGACTTGTTGAAGAGACTGGGCCAGAGAATGGAGAATGTTTCATCTTCTGAGTTTTTATCATTTCTTCCCCCCAGTGTCATTTAGTTTATTAAATACACTTATTCAAAAATTGTAATTGTCCTAAGGTTTGACGGTCAAAGCAAACATTTTAGCTGGAAATCATCACAGGTGATGTGTTCTCATTGTGAGGTGACGGGACCTCCTCAGAGGTCACAGAATAGCTCATTTTCCTTACGTGTGAGGCTAATATTGAGCACTGGGTTAAGGTGACCATCAGCTTGATTCTTCAATGTAAAGTTACATTTCCCCCCATAACTGCTTCTGAGAGATAACTACTAATTTGTAGGTCATGCGTAGGGCTCAAATAAGTCTGACAAATCCTTGATCAGCAGATTTTACGTGTATTATAATCACTGGCCTTGTTTACTGGTGTGATCATTTTCTTTGGACTAGTTAGGGATAGGGCCATTCAGGTCCCTTTGAAAAAACTGTAATCATTAATTTCCTGAGACTAGATGTCTTTTTAAGTGTTCTGGCTGGGTACCATTTGCAAGGCCAATTTTCTTTAGGTTCCCATGTGTTGCTGTTGGAGTTAGCACAGCATAAGATTGTGAGAACTACCTGAATTTGGAAAAGCAACAGAACATCTCTTAGTTGCAGTTTTTCATCTATAACGTATTTTCTATTTGTTTTTTATTTATTTATATTTTTGAGACAGAGTTTCAAGCTGTCGCCCTAGGTAGAGTGCTATGGCATCATAGTTCACAGCAACCTCAAACTCTTGGGCTCAAGCGATTCTCTTGCCTCACCCTCCTAAGTAGCTGGGACTACAGGTGCCAGCCACAATGTCTGGCTATTTTTTTGTTGCAGTTGTCATTATTGTTTTGCCAGCCTGGACTGGATTTGAACCCACCAACCTCAGTGTATGTGGCTGGCACCCTACCCACTGAGCTACAATTTGTATAGTTTTTGTGTCTACAAAGCAGTTAGCTCACATAGTGAGTATACAGTATACTTGATTCTCAAGGTTAGTCTAATTAGGTACTATTATATTTAAAAATCTTATTAAACATTTGAAGTAAACTGAACATTTGATGGTGAGATCATCAAACACTATCCAGAACTTCTATTATATTTAGTTAGCTGTATCAATGAATTATATATATGTGTATATATATATATATATTTTTTTTTTTAGAAGATAAGAGTCTCACTTTATTGCCCTCAGTAGAGTGCTGTGGTGTCACAGCTCACAGCAACCTCCAACTTTTGGGCTTAGGTGAGTCTCTTCCTTCAGCCTCCCAAGTAGCTGGGACTACAGGTGCCCGCCACAATGCCCGGCTATTTTTTTTGTTGCAGTTTGGCTGGGGCTGGGTTTGAACCTGCCACCCTCAGTATATGGGGCTGGCACCCTACTTACTAAGCCACAGGTGCTGCCCACTCCAAGTGCATGTATGTGTGTTTACTGAGTTATCAATTATGTGTTCAGGGTACGCTAATTGATTTCCACGTGAGTTACTAAGAAACCAATGTCTTTGCTAAAAATATTAAGAACTTTAAGAGTACAGTGATAGCATATTTAATATTACCAGTTGCAATATGGATTATTCCAAGTTTAAGGTATAAGGCATTTTTTATCATTATGTTTCTGTGGAGAAAAGACAAGCTTTTGTTGCTTAGAACAATGCATAGAAATACTGAGTACAAGTGCTATTTATATTATGGAAGTGTTTATAAAAATACATGTTGTAACCTAGAGTTCTTTCTTGAATGACAAAGACTTCTTTTCACTTTTGTAAGTACTTCTTAAACACAGGCCATGTTGACAATAGCCAATTGCATAGAATATAGAGATAGAGTCCCAAGGAATAATATATTTGTATTGAACACATTCACAGGTTAAGCAAAGTGTTAACATCTTTCTTAAGCACTAGATCATTGTTCTTTTTTTTCTTTTTTGTATGAGGGGATTCATGTTTGGAAAAGGAATTAAAAGGAAAAATATTTCCGAATATATAAGGCAGCCAAGATTCTCCACAAAGCCCTTGTAACAGCTACAATCCAGCTTTGTAGAGATTTGTTTCTATTCTAAGTTCTCTGATGCCCTGAGCTGACATTATTCATTTGCCTTTCTTGTACTTGACTTTATAGTTCTAACTTGTTTGCAATAAAGCAGCAATCCACAACCCTTCTTCTTCTATAATTTATTTTGCCCATTTATTTAAAGGTTAAGTATGTTCAGATGAAATAGTTTTTTATGACATATGGTTGATATCAGACAGTGTAATAGTTGTTTGACTCAATTTATGATTTGTTCTTAAGCAAATTTCATCTCTGTCTTACTCGCTTTGTTGAATTCCCAGAGGGAAACTACATCATGTCTCTCTGGAGTTGTGGTTACAGTTTCCTTGCGAGAGGCTGTCTTTTATTGACCCCCATCTTTTAATGTTATTGTATGTTTTTGGTAGCTGGCAGGCTTCCTAAATATAAAAGGAATTATTTTACTTAAGATACTTACATTTGATTAACCCAGAACTTGGAGAAAGATAAGGAGGAGGAAAGGAGGCAGCCAGATGTCAGAAAATTAGATAACTTGAGAATACATACATACTCAGTGAATTTCAGGTGGAGACATTTTAATTAGAATTCCTTTTGCTTTGCTTTTAAAAGCATTTCCCTTGTCTTTCAAAATTCTTAAAAGCATAGCTTAGTCCTGTGACATATTTTACTGTGTGACATAATTTACTTAGGAACTTTAAAATTTTGGACACTTACAGAATTATATTATTGAGTGGTGTGAATAACTTTTTATGGTATAAATGATTCTTCAAAAAATATTTTTCTTCATTCATCTTACTGTTCATGAAAAAGTTTAAAAAATATTTTATAAACTTTACAATAAAGATAGCCCACCTGGTATATGGAATTCTTGAGCAGGAACAAGAGACCTTGTTTAGTAGATAAAGAAGTCAGGCCTACTGATATTATGCAATGCCTTTGAAGTCACACTGTTAGTGGGAGGCAGAGTCTGGAGGTGTATGGTTCCCAGTTTAGGATTTGGTTTATGGTAGACTGTTTACAAGAATAAATATAAATATAGGGATGAAAGAGATAGACAAGTCAGGAGAGAGAGTTAATTTTAGGAGAAAATGATACTGAACATGTTTTTATGTAGACTGGATTTGAGGTGCAACAGGCCATCGTTGAACATGTTACATGTCCCAGGAGGCTGGAAGAATGCTCAGTGTCTTAGATTCAGCTCTATAGTGAGACAGACTTTACCATCTAGTAGTGGTGTAATTTTGGGCAAATTATTGAGCTTAATTAGCGTCAGTTTCCTTATCTGTAAACTGCATTTAATAACATCATGGGGTTGTAGGGGGTATTAAATGAGTTAATACATAAAAAATTACTGTTAGATGAGTGCCTGTAATCCAAGGAGCACTCAATACACATCAAATATTATTGGAGATGGAAAGGATTTTTTTTTCAGAGAGAAATCTAGGTTATCGATCATTAAAAATGATTTTTTTTTCATAGGTTCAGGTGTCACAGACTGATATTTGCAGTTAAAGAGCCAGTCTTGTATAACCCAATAAATAATCTTGCACAATAGAATGGCGTCAGTCTATTCTGTGTCTATCTCAAAGTGGTAGGAGAGCCTGGGGACTCTCCTAGAGAGCAAGTCACGTGGTGCTATTTATTTGGCTTTTGTCAATGGTGGGGGCAAGGAAACATTTTATACCAATACAATTTGATTAGCTAAATAGGTTTAAGCATGTTTTAGATAAGGATCAGAAATAGA